TGTGGTGGCGTCCCATATAAAGTGGAGGAAGATAGGCACAGATGTTAGCCCAGGGCCAGTCTTCCTCAGCAAAAAAAAAAAAAAGCGAGAAGGATTGGTGGATGTTTGCTCAGGGCTGATCTTCCCCACAAAATAAATAAATGAAAAATAAATAAGTGGATATAATTAAAAAAAAAAAAAGAAATTGTAAAGAGCTTGATAACACTTCCCAGAGAGGCGAGGCAATAAGCCTTTTTGAGATAAAGGAACTGGGTGGACTCTGAACTGCCTCTAGAGCTGCTTTTCCAGTCTCACAAGGATTTTTTAAGGACAATTGCTCTTAATTTCTCAGAAATTGGGTTGTAACTGAAAAGACATTATAGGTTGATCTACCTGTCCAACTACATCATAAAGGCACAGAGAAGCCACTCAAGTTGTCCCCAAGATGGAGTTTCTGGGGGATATCTGCCTCGTCAGTTTTTAATATCCCATTATCTACAAGCATTTATGGCTTAACTATGGACATAAGGCATCCCCAAAAGAGAGTGCAAAAGGAGTAGCCCTCACAAGATCCAGAAAGTTCACTCCCAAAAAACAGCCCAAGAAAGCAAAGGCCTTCGCTGCACAGGCGGTAGTGCACCAACAAACAACAAAGATTGAGACAACAAAGGTCCCTGATGGACTGGGACCCCTCATGAGCAAAGAGGTCACAAAGCCAAGTTCTCAAGACATAGAACAAAACAAAAAGAGGAACAAAATCTCATCTTATATGCACATTAACAGCTTTAGCTATGCTTTGGGTCTCTTGGAGCCAGACTAATACCTGGGGGGAGGTGCCACGGGGTTGGGGACTGTGTGTGCTTTACAGAGTGCTTCGTCATTGCACGGACATTTTCTTGAAGTTGGTGGGGGACCTGCGTCATCTACCCCATTCCATGACCAACTTATCCTTCCACGGGAGACTTCTGGAGGGGGCGAGCACCCTAATGGCTCTTAACTGCTGGGCCCGCACCCACCAACATTGTGGCTCTTTTGGCTTCCAAGACGCCCTGTTAGCAACAGCTTCCACCGTATGGGCGTACTCCACAGGCAGGCCCTGCGGCAGAGCTACTGCCGGCCACCCAGAAAGCAGGCTTGTGGAGCTGCCTGCATCTTGCTCTAAGGGTTTTCCTTTATGACAAATGACACAAAAAACAGAAACAAGGGAAAACAGTGACCGTCTCTGGGAGGAGAAGGATCAATAAACCAATGAATATTCAGTAGCTCCTACTGCTTACTTGTAGCTGAAAGTCTCCCAATTCAGGAGAATGCAGTCTAAGGCGTTTCAGGTGGGGATCGAATTAGGGTCTCCCATTGTTTGAGAATTTAGACACGACTGGTCAAAAGTATATTTATGTGGGGCCGGCCCTGTGGCTTAGTGGTTAAGTGCGTACGCTCCGCTACTGGCAGCCTGGGTTGGGATCCCAGGCGGAGCACCAACACTTCGCTTCTCCAGCCATGCTAAGGCCGTGTCCCACATACAGCAACTAGAAGGATGTGCAACTGACATACAACTATCTACTGGGGCTTTGGGGGGAAAAAGGGAAAAAAAAAAGGAGGAGGATTGGCAATAGATGTTAGCTTAGGGCCAGTCTTCCTCAGCAAAAAGAGGAGGATTGGCATGGATGTTAGCTCAGGGCTGATCTTCCTTAAAAAAAAACAAAAAGTATATTTATGCTGCAGCTAGAATCAGATTGCGAAAATTTAAATCATCCCTAAAATCAAGACCCTTAAATGAAGGCCCAGCCAAGGCCTTCTTCAAATAGCCAATGTAATTCCCCTGAGGCTGATGGCAGTTTGGTAGGACTCAGCCACAAACGGGAGCGCAATCCGCATTTCTGTCAGACTATCTCTGACCGCAAAATGAGGTGCACCCTATTTTCGTCCAACTGTATTTTGGGATCCCCCCGCAACCTGACAGTTATCAAGCCAAGCCCTCAGGACACAAAACAAGCTTGGCAAGATTCTGCTGTTCACTGTAAACATTTACACCTTTTGGAAACTTTTGGTCAAAAGGTGCAGTCCTTGACTCTTTAAAGATTAAAGATTTTTCCTTGTTCCTTGGTTTGGAGGCTCAAATAGAGCCCAAAGTGGCCACTGTAATTTTAAACTATCCCGGGTCATCTTGCCAGCTTTTTGCAGTTATCTCCCTTTTAGGGGGGGCTTTTATCAAGGTGGCCGCAACAAACAAGGTCTGATAGTGAGCTAGTGGGAGCAGCTCCCCCAAGAATAATCAAGGGTTGGCTCTTTCCCTTATGTGTCCCTGCACCCACCAAGTTCAGGTGATTTAAGCCCCGGATGAGCTGCTGCTGTCGAGTGCCTCACCACGAACAATGAAGGCCCAGTAAGACACGTTCTTCAGGAGGCGTCCCTATGAGGCCGTTGCACGTCATGGGCAGACAGCCTGACACCTCGGTAAAGTCCCCAGTCACCTGGGAACGTGCTGAAGGACCAGAGAGAACAGTGCCTCTTTTCTTCAGAGTCAGAAGACTCTCATAAGATTAGTCTAAAAGGCAGTTTGTTGCAGTCACCGAGAAAATCAGTCCCCAAGCAGCCAATTTCAACAAATAACACAGTCAAAGGTAGACAAACATGAACAGATACAGAAATCCAATCTCTGGGACCCTACCCCAGAGTTCGGGACTGTAACCCGATCCTTTTGAGTGCCTCAGTGGCTGTAACCTTTATATTGTCTCCCACAATCCTAGCCTTGGGTTTTAACCCAGCAGCCAGATCTCACCAGTACGGCCTCTAACCCACAATCCTGACAAGATATTAGATGATTTTAGGCACAGGCGCATTTAAACAAAGTCACTCACCCAAATCCAAAAGACGTCTGATCCTGGAGCTCTTTACAGACATAGACAGACACAGACATAGACACCAATGAAACCAGTTCCTAGATTCTGGGTGAAGTCCTATTCCTCTTCCCACTCTGGTAGGGCACCCTATTAACCAGATGGTCCTCCTTCTCAAAGAGGAGACCCCAGATGGAGGAGAAGGAAAGTTCTCAGTGGTGGACCCCCAAGGTGACTTACCCTACTCCAGATGAGAGCCTGTTGACCCACCAGATGTAGCCATTTCTCTTCCTACCACATCAGCGTTAGGAGGCAGCCGGCGTCGGCACCGGAGAGCAGGTAGGGCAGATCCCTGAGACAAAGAGAGCCTCGGCAGCCCCTAGGGACTTACCTGACAAGCTGCCCATCCGAGGTCGGCTGGCCACGAGCAGGACCTAACGTCCCATCTGGGTCGCCAAATTGTTACCGCCCAGCGTGGGGCCTTCTGCTCGCCGCAAGACATGCCGGTAGTCAAGAGGCAAGGTGGTAGGAGAAAAAGGACTTTTTTATTACAGCTTGCTAGCAAGGCTAGCAAGAGGGAAGATGGCCGACTCATGTCCAAAAGAACCATCTTAAGGGGGCATGAAATCTTACAGCAGTTATATAGGCCATTGGGTTACAGGGGAGGGGGCTAGGAATGTTGACCTTCTGGTGTTACAGACCAGGAGTGCCACATGAGATCTTTCAGTTTTCACTGATGATGGCTATCAGCATAGATTCTCTGTTCGGGGGTTATCACATTCCTAAGGAACTCAAAAGAACAAAGTTATCATCTTATTGCAGCTGGGAGGTACATGCACAAGCAGGGGTCGTAAAAATCTACAGAGCAGTTAGATCTCCTGGAGGGTGCAGATCCAGCTGGGTTAGTTTGTCAGAGGTCACTCGAAGTTATAGCAGAGTTTTTCTTTTCTACAATATGGCTTCCCTTATGTCAACCTTATCTTGAGCCGGTATCACTTCCACTGCCCACCATGTCCCCTCTGCCTCCCGGGCACTGAGCCCTGCAGCCACGGTGCTCGATCAATATTTGCTACATGAATGAATGAACCACGGGGCTCCGGAGCAGGTGAGGGCACCCGGCTTCCTGTGCGGGCTCTGCTGACCCGAGGGGCCTGGGCCCGCTGTCCCTTCTGTTCCCCCGCAGCCCACCCCGCGGGGGCCGTGTGACAGCGACATCGTGCGGAGACGACACGCCAGAAGCTGTGCGGGGAGGACTCGCCACCGGAAGTCAGTGGCAGCTTCAGACCGGACGCTCTAGAATCCCGGAGGACCGGGATCTCTGTGGTGGGACGTGATGGATCACCCTCTACTTGGGATGATGCATTCTCCGAGCCGGGCTCCCTGGCCGATCAGGAAAATGGGGGAAGGGACACAATCCCCTGGGCGATGGGGACTGACAAGGGAGGAGGGGCCTAAAGAAGGGGGATTTCGTGAGCCGGCCGCCAGGTAACAGTCCCAAGCGTCTCAACTCCTCCGAGCTCCGGTAACCAGCTACGACGAGCTGGTTGTAGGAGGAGATGGAGCCGATAGATGGGGATGCGCGTGCGCGCGCACGTACGGCGGCGTTGCCTTCCGTTCACGCGGCGCCCGGGGCTGCCAGCGCGCATGCGTCAAAGGGGCGGCGCAGGGCTGGGAGCGCAGCCCTGCGAAGCGCGGAGCGCCCTTTGGGCGGCTCCCGCTGGCGAGCGGGACAGCGGCGCGCGCGCGCGGGGAGGGGCGTGGCTTCCTCTGCCGGCAGGCTTGGATTGGACGCAGCAAGTAGAAGGGGTGGGAACCTCGTCAGAGGCCGCCCAGCGATTGGCCAGAGGCTGGACAGAGCGTGGTCTTGGGAGGCGGGGCGGGGCACCGGCGGTGCAGAGCAAGACGCCGAGGTGGTGGCGGTGGCCTTGAATAAGTGAGCGAGCGGCTCTTGGAGTCCCTCTCCAGTGGGGCGGGAGGCCGGGGAGCCCCAGGAGCCCCGGAGAGCACCGAGGAGGCGTCAAGGGGAGGCGCCTTTCGGTGAGTGCGGCCGAGAGAAGCAAGCGCCCCGCCCCTCCCTCTCTTCCTGGACCGCGCCTCGCGGCGCCTCCCCACGCCGACCCTGCGTTCCGCCCGGAGCTGAGCTCGGGCGCCGGGTGCCGCGGTGGGGCGTCTCATACGGGCCAGCCGCTCTCTTTCGCCCCCTCCCCGGCTCCCGTTGGCTCAGGGAACTCGGAAATCTCCTGGTCCTGCTCCCCAGCCTCACCGAGGGGAAACGGAGGCCCGGGGGGGGGTGGGCCCCTCCTCTCCCGCGTCTCCACACAGACGCCATGGCCGAGCCCCTGAAGGAGGAAGACGGCGAGGACGGCTCCGGGGAGCCCCCCGGGCCGGTAAAGGCGGAGCCCGCCACCACCGCTGCCTCGGTAGCGGCCAAGAACTTGGCCCTGCTCAAAGCCCGCTCCTTCGACGTGACCTTTGACGTGGGCGACGAGTATGAGATCATCGAGACCATCGGCAACGGCGCCTACGGGGTGGTGTCCTCTGCGCGCCGCCGCCTCACCGGTGAGCTCCCGCCGGGCGCCGCCCACCGATGGGAGCCCGGGCCCGCGAGGGGGAGAAGCCTGCCCCGGACAGCAAGGAGAGCGGGGTGTAGATCCTGGTCCGAGTCAGCAGAGCCGGTCCGGTGCCGTCCGGGGGCCAGGCTCTGGTGGGCATAGGCTCTGGAGCTCTGGAATGGTGGTGTTGCCAGCCCGTCAGCCTACTTCCTCAGCAGATGACGATCCCGGTTAGACCAGGATGGACATCTCGTCCTTGGTTTCCAAAAGGGAAATGCGTTCTGGAGCCGGAGACGGGCGAGGGCTTGCTGGTGGGAAGGGTGAGGCCTGAGATGGAGAGGGAGTGGGCAGGTAGGAGGAGCACGGGCATTAACACCTAGACTGCTGCTGACTAGCTGTGCAGCCCCCAACAGGTTACTGAGCCAAGGTGTCCTTATCTCTAACTCTGAGCTGTTAGTACCTGCCTCGGGGAAGAGATGTGAGAGAAAGTCTGATGATTTATGTAAAGTGCTTAGCACAAGGCTTGGCACGTAGTAGATGCTCAGTATAGGGTAGCTGTTGTTATTTGCATCCTAGAAGGGGTTATTTGCATACTGAAAGGGGCCTTGTGCCACGCTGCACCTACCCCAACATACTAGATGGTATCTGCCTTTTCCCTACTCCCCAGGCCAGCAGGTGGCCATTAAGAAGATCCCTAATGCTTTTGACGTGGTGACCAATGCCAAGCGGACCCTCAGGGAGCTGAAGATTCTCAAACACTTCAAGCACGACAACATCATTGCCATCAAGGACATCCTGAGGCCCACCGTGCCCTATGGGGAGTTCAAGTCTGTGTAAGGAGCAAGGATGGGCGAGGGAGGCAAAACTGGGTCCTTTTCTGAAGGCTGGGCCATATTGCTGAAGTTCTGGAAGGGCAGCTGAACCTGATATGCGGCAGGCTGGGAAAATTCCCACAGTTCCAGGACCAGTGCACTCTTAGGGCTTTGCCAGGGACAACTGTGATTCCTCAAGAAGAGTACAGACAATTTTATAGAATCTCAGTATATAGGATAGTAAACGTGGGACATTCGTACTATAGCTGCACCCTCCTACTCCCATAGCAGATTCACTAATCAATCACAGAACACTTTCCTGCACAAAACGGACAAGCCGTCACTGTTTTCATCATAGTCTTTCAAGCAGGCACTACCAAACAGTGGAGATGACCCCCAAACTAAACCTATTGGCCAGCCCTGGTTTAATCCAACCCCGTCTTTTCTCTGATGGGGAAACTAGGTCTGGAGAGAAAAGCGATTTAACTTCACTTAAGCTCGTGGAAAAGTTGTAGAGATTCTAGAATCTTCATACCATGCCATTGGGCCTTACAGAGTCCAAGGGTAAGGCCATTACATGTTTGAAGCCGGGAGGGTGTGGTGAGGATGGGGCTGGAGTGTGGGTGAGACATCCCATGCCTGTCTCCCCTGCCCCTTCCAGCTATGTGGTCTTGGACCTGATGGAGAGTGACCTGCACCAGATCATCCACTCCTCGCAGCCGCTCACGCTGGAGCACGTACGCTACTTCCTGTACCAGCTGCTGCGGGGCCTCAAGTACATGCACTCAGCTCAGGTCATCCACCGCGACCTCAAGCCCTCCAACCTGTTGGTGAATGAGAACTGCGAGCTCAAGATCGGTGACTTTGGCATGGCCCGCGGCCTGTGCACCTCGCCTGCTGAGCACCAGTACTTCATGACTGAGTATGTGGCTACGCGCTGGTACCGTGCCCCTGAGCTCATGCTTTCACTGCACGAGTACACGCAGGCTATTGACCTGTGGTCTGTGGGCTGCATCTTCGGTGAAATGCTGGCCCGACGCCAGCTCTTCCCAGGCAAAAACTACGTGCACCAGCTGCAGCTGATCATGATGGTGCTGGGTACCCCCTCGCCGGCTGTGATTCAGGCTGTGGGGGCTGAGAGGGTGCGGGCCTATATCCAGAGCCTGCCGCCACGCCAGCCCGTGCCCTGGGAGACAGTGTATCCAGGGGCTGACCGCCAGGCCCTCTCACTGCTGGGGCGCATGCTGCGTTTCGAGCCCAGTGCCCGCATCTCCGCAGCTGCTGCCCTTCGCCACCCCTTCCTGGCCAAGTATCATGACCCTGATGATGAGCCTGACTGTGCCCCACCCTTTGACTTTGCCTTTGACCGTGAAGCCCTCACCCGGGAGCGCATTAAGGAGGCCATCGTGGCTGAGATTGAGGACTTCCATGCGAGGCGTGAGGGCATCCGCCAGCAGATCCGCTTCCAGCCTTCCCTGCCACCTGTGGCCAGTGAACCTGGCTGCCCCGACGTTGAGATGCCCAGTCCGTGGGCTCCCAGTGGAGACTGTGCCATGGAGTCACCTCCACCAGCCCCACCACCATGCTCTGGTCTTGCACCTGACACCATTGATCTGACCCTGCAGCCACCTCCGCCAGCCAGTGAACCAGCCCCTCCAAAGAGGGAAGGTGCCATCTCAGACAACACCAAGGCGGCCCTCAAAGCTGCCCTGCTGAAGTCCTTGCGGAGCCGGCTCAGAGGTGCTTTGTGGAGGCCGTGGCTTGCCGGGGGGTGGCGTGGCGGAGGAGGGACTCCCGACTTGGACAGGGCCACAGGCTCTTACCTTCCCCCTGCCCACCTTCCCTGCAGATGGCCCTAGTGCCCCCCTGGAAGCTCCTGAGCCTCGGAAGCCAGTGACGGCCCAGGAGCGCCAGCGGGAGCGGGAGGAGAAGCGACGGCGGCGGCAGGAGCGTGCCAAGGAGCGGGAGAAGCGGCGGCAGGAGCGGGAGCGCAAGGAGCGCGGAGCCGGGGCCTCTGGGGGCCCCTCCACTGACCCCCTGGCTGGGCTGGTGCTCAGTGACAATGACCGCAGCCTGCTGGAGCGCTGGACTCGCATGGCCCGGCCCCCAGCCCCCACCCCGGCACCAGCCCAAGCCCTGGTAACAACAGCCCCCCCAGCCCAGCCCACCAGTCCTCCTGCTGGCCCCCCACCACCACCTGCAGGCTCCACCCCTGCTCCTACACCACAGCCTGCCTGCCCACCCTCTGGCCCTGTTCCCCACCCTGCTGGCCCTCCCGGGCCCATCCCTGGCCCTGCTCTTCAGACCACCACTTCCTCTAGCCTCCTGGCCCCACAGTCGCTTGTGCCACCCACTGGGCTGCCTGGCCCCAGCACTCTGGGTGTTCTGCCTTATTTCCCATCTGGCCCACCCCCTCCAGACCCTGGGGGAGCCCCTCAGCCCTCCACCTCAGAGTCACCCGATGTCAACCTGGTCACCCAGCAGCTGTCCAAGTCGCAGGTGAGGAGAGGCCCAGGCCATGGGCACACCTGGATCCGGGCCCAGGGAAAATGGGTTTGGGAAGTCCTTGCTGTTTGTTGGGGACAAGGGGACGGGAGAGTTTTGGTGTGTCCTTGTTTCATGAAAACAGAGCGAGAGATGGGGCTTTATCTCTGTGAACTCGTCCCCTTGCTCATAGAGAGGCATAATGTTGATGAGCAGGTAGTCGGGAGACAAATAGAAGCTTCCTGGGAAGTGCCTGGCCTGGAGATGGGCCCTGGTCAGCACTCAGTGATTGTCGAGGCTGGTGCTGTCACCCATGGGTGTCCAGACACAGTCACGGGCAGCATCAGGACAGGGGTGCCCTGCAGACCTTGGCCTGCTCTTGATGGTGCCTGCGTTGTAACCTGCCATCATCCCCTGCAGGTGGAGGACCCCTTGCCCCCCGTGTTTTCGGGCACTCCAAAGGGCAGTGGGGCTGGCTATGGTGTTGGCTTTGATCTGGAGGAATTCCTAAACCAGTCTTTCGACATGGGCGTGGCTGACGGACCACAAGATGGGTAAGATGGCTGGACCAAGCTTCTAGAATGAGGCTGTGGGTAGGGGTTCCTGGTGCAGGGGGAGCTTGCCTGTGGGATGGGCAAGGAGCCCCTAGGCTGATAGTTCTTCTCCCCTCCACTCTCCCCGCTTCCCTTTCCCCTGCAGCCAGGCGGACTCGGCCTCGCTCTCAGCCTCCCTGCTTGCTGACTGGCTCGAGGGCCACGGCATGAACCCTGCCGACATTGAGTCCCTGCAGCGTGAAATCCAGATGGACTCCCCGATGCTGCTGGCTGACCTGCCTGAACTCCAGGAGCCCTGAGGCCCATAGCCTATGCCTTGCTGCCAGGGGCAGACCCAGCTCCAAGGCCCACAGGAACATTCTCGAGGGCTGGAGCCTTGGGCCTGGCAGGGGAAGCTCGGCTTGGATTATTCTGCAGGTTCATCTCAGACCCACCCTGCAGCCTTAAGCAGCCACCTGAGCCACCACCGAGCCATCAGGAAACCCCTACTCCCCGAGCGATCTTTTTCAGTATTGTATTTTTATTATTATTATTATATTATTATTATTATTATTATTATTACTACTACTACTACTACTACTACAGGATGTTTTTGCCATCGAAATGAGGCTTATGAAATATAAGGTTCCCTTGAGCGCCTAACTCCAGGTGTTTCTTTGGAGTTGAGGGCAGGGCGCCGTCAGTAAGGGAGCAAGGAGGAGCCAGGTCCCCACTTCTGGGAGCCAAGCAAATGCATTTGCATGCACAACAGCCAAAGCCAGTTCGTTAAGGTCCTGAGGTTTATTGAGACCTCCAGTCCCCACCCGTTTCCAGCCCCACAGAGGTGGTCCTCTGCCCCCTCACATGGGCAAACTCAACCCCGGGGCGGGTAGGGGGACCTCATATCTATGCCTATCTCGGTTACGGCTGTTTTAGGGTGGTGCGGTAGCTGTTGGGAAATAGAGGTTGGTATTGAGCTTTGGGGGCCTGGGACAGGCAGGCAGGGGAAGCTGAGTATGACAGTGAGATGGACTATCTCACTGGGGGTCCATGGTGCTCACCATTGGGGAATAAGTTGGTGAGAGGGAGGCGAAGGATGGGAGTGAGAGAACTCTGAGAACAGCCAGGGAGAGTCCTGGGGTGTGGCAGTGGTGGCTACACGCAGGTGGCCTGGTGCACACTGTGGCTGTCGGTCAGACTGTACCAGCTCAGTCTAGCATGCTAGGGTGGCCCCAGATGGAGGAGTCCACAGTAAGGAAGCTGTCTAAGGTGGAACACAAAAGCCTATAGCCTGGGAGAGCAGCTGTTGGCTCTCAGCCTTTGAGATAGTCTCACGGAGCCCAGCCAGGTCCAGGTCAATGGCTGTGCCTGTCAGGAGGCCTGGGAAGCTGCTGGCATCTGAGCCTCAGGTGGAGGGGAGCAGAGGGCTGGCTTAGAGATGGAGGCCCTGGCTGCGACGGGATCAGTTAGGCCTAGAGCCACAGGCCCCCTGTGAGAAGCAGGTGCTAAGAGAGCAGCAGAACCAGCGTATTGGGCCCTGGGGTGCGGCAGGGGCGGCAGAGGGAGCACTGGTGGAGACCTGGGGCAGCCAGGCAAGGGTTGGAGCCTGAGGGGGGCCAGCCCCTCAGGCCCGCCGGATTTTCATCTCGGTGCGCTTGAGGGAGTAGTAGAAGCCCTTCCACTGGGCCCAGTTGATGCCATTGGCATAGGAGAGGTGGGAGCCACCCAGGTAGAAGCCATTGAGGTTGGCGAAGTGACAGCTGCGGAACCAGAAGGCTCCCGAGGAGAGGGCCGCACAGTTCTGCACGAAGAGGTCCTGGTCCCGGTCGAAGGTAGAGAACTTCTGGCCACTGTGATAGGACAGGGAGTCGCCTGGTGGAGGAGAAGAGGGATGAGGCTGCTGAGGCTGGGAGCTGAGCCCGAAGCTGGCAGGGAGGAGGGTGACGGCAGTAATGAGTGACGCTGTGAGAGACATCACGTGCCAGCCTGGCGGGATGGGGCACCCTCCCTGAGCCAGATGTTGGGTAGCTGTGCTTCTGCAACGAAGAGCAGCATCTCCCCACGGGGCTGCCTGCAGTGGAGCAGGCTCGGCTTCTCCTCAGGGCCGAGGCCCAAGTGGGTTGGGGGCCAGCGTGGCCCTTCCAGGCCAGGAGGGGAAAGGAGGGGCCTGAAGGCGGTTAGGGGCCAACTGGGCAGTGCCAGCCCTGCCTTCTCCCTCCACAGTCCCTCCTTAGGCTGGCAGGAGGGGGATACCTGCCCCGCCGTCTTCGAAGCCTGCTACGTAGAGGGTGTAGCCGTCCTCCTCAGCACTGACCGCATTGGGCGAGATGGAGAATTCGGCATACTTGGCAGAGGCTGTGTTGTTCTCAAAGTCTTCCAGGTCCACTCGTAGCTCGTACTTCTGCTTCAGCGTCAGGAGGTGCATGTTCTGCAGCCCTGGGGAGGAGGGGCAGCTGGTCAGCAGGGCCCTGGCTCTGGGGCAGCCCCCCCAGCCTGCCTGGGCCCCACCTTACCCAGCCAGTACTCCCCGTCGGCTCTGCCGAAGCCCAGCTTGTAGTCATTCCAGCCCCTGAAGAAACTCACCGAGCCATTGAATCTCTTCTGGAAAACCTGGAGTAGAGAGGATGGGCCTGGACGATCAGGGGTCCAGTGGGCAGGGCCCTCACCCAGGCACAGACCCTGTGATGCTGAGGTGGTTTGTTAAAGGACTGAGCTGGGGGCCTAAAACAAGGCGCACGCTGGCATCAGGCCCCTCAGTGAGCAGCTGCTGAGTGCCAGGAAGAGGTTAAGAGGGAGGTGCTCTAGAGTTCAGGCGCCTGAGTGTGAGTTGTACTGGCTGTGTGACCTTGGGCAAGTTACTTCACCTCTCTGGGCTTCAGTTCTTTGTCTATAAAATGTACCTTCCTCCCAGGATTATTGTGAGGATTACATGCACTAACCTACCTTAAGCTTCTGGAATCCTGTGTTGGCAGCAGCTCACAACTATGCCATGGGTATTGTTATCCCCATTTTAGAGATGAAGAAACTGAGGCTCATAGAGGTGAAGTTTGGTCACACAGCTGGGACTAGAACCAGGCCTCCGTTCCTCTCCTCCCACTCACCGTCCACTTCCCGCCCGCAGTGGTCATGTCACAGAAGACGGGCACAGGCACGCTGGGGCCCGAAGGGTAGATGAGGTACACGCCATCCTCTTGGTAGCCCTGGGAGTAGATGTCGTCGCAGTCCAGGGGCTGCTGAAGGCAAGACTTCTCCAGAGCTGGGGGGCGGGGAGGGTGAGGAGAAGGGGACTAAGGCATAATGGGCACCTTGTCACCCCAGTTTGCCTCCGTCCCTGGGGGCAAAGTCCTCTGTCAGGAGAAATGGCACGATTTCTTTGAGAGGGGTGTGCTCGAAGATTGTCTCGTCCACCTGCCCCGTTTCACAGAGGAGGAGGTGGCTGGGGCTCAGCCCTGAGGCCTGACTCCCGGGAACCTGGCCTCTCTTGCCCAGCCTGGGGACCGGGCTGCATTTGTGAATGTGGGCTGCTTACCGTCTCCGCGGATCCCCGAGATCTGGGGGGCGCAGGGCCGCGTGGAGAGGAGCAGCAGGAGCGGCAGGGCCAGGAGGGCCTGGCGACAGGAAAGCAGGGTCACCCCACCGCAGCCCCTCCCTGGCCCCAGAGCCCCCCTGCTTTTTCTGCACTTGCCACATCACACAAACCACCCCCTGGCAGAATCCCCCTGCCTGCCCTCTGGCCCCTCTTTCCCCTCCCGAGAAACCCCCTTTCTGGGACATGCCCAATGCCCTCAGAGCTTCGGAGTTTCGACTGAATCGTGAGAACTCCTTGTGCCTTCGCAGCCCCCTCTCTGGCCGGGGCCCCTCCACAGTGGGCTCAGTCCTCAGTCCTGAGTCCTCCGCCCCAGGCCCGTACCTTCATGCTGCCAGTTCAGCTCCGAGCGGCCGGCTGTCTGCTGCCCCAGACTGCAACCGCCCAGAGTTATGTGCTGGGCGCAGGCCAGCCGCCCCAGCCCCGCCCCTGTAGCTGCAGAACCCTCCCTCTCCCCCTCCCCCGGCACTGGACCAGCATCCGCTTACACTGTCAGGGGGGCCGGGGGAGGTGGGGCTGGGCCAGAGGACCACCTGTGTCTCATTAGGCCTGTCAGGAGCAAAGCACTGCAGACGTTAACCCCCTGCTGGCTCAGACTGCTCCCTGGATCCCCCTGCCACCCGCCCCTGGGACCTGTGGGCCCCCTGGCACCCCCAGCCCGTCCCCTGCTTCCTGATGGCCCCCCTGCAGATGTCTGTTTATTTTCTCCCTCTCCTTCCCTGGCCCATGTTTCATCAGGCTTTGGGGGAAGGCTGAGCAGTGGTGGGGAGGGTGTGGGTATGCCTGGGTTCTGGGGAGGGGAGGCCCATTCTGGGGGAGCATAAGGCTGGGGGGGCAGCTTCGGAGCTCTTGATGTGGGATCTGGGCTGGGGTGGGGGTGGGGGCCAGGGGCAGCAGGGGCCAGGCCGTCTCCTGGCAGGGCTGGGACATTTCTGAGCCATGAGCACAGCCTGCAGACGTCCAACTGCTGTCTGCCCCAGCTCAAGCCAGGGCCCCTCTCCAGCCCCCTCGCTCCGGCCCCTCAGGCCCCCTCCCTTCCCCTCCCACAGAGTTCCCTGGGCAATCTGTCTGGCTCACACACCCAAGCATGGGGCCTCTCTTGTTTTTCTTCACCTCACCCTACCCCCCTTCCTTCTTCCAAACCCCTCACCTCAGACTTTCCCCTAGGCCCCTCTCAACCAGTGTCTATTTCCTCAGCCCTGAAAACCCACCTCTTTCCTTCTTGCCTCCATTGAGCTTGTTCGCCTTCCAACCATCCCTTAGGCCTGTCCACTCCTTTCTCCACTCAGGCCCCGGGCCTCCTTGGAGCCTCTCTCCAGGATGCTCACTGCCCCAGCCTCCTCACAGATCTCCCTGCTTCTGGTCTCCTCCTCCTCCCATCCTCTGCACAGGCTGCCAGAACACTCTTTCTAGATGGCTGCTCTGCTACCGCCTGCTTACAGCCTCCGCTGGTGGCTCCCTATCACCTCAGGGCTGAGGCTCAATCTCTCACTTTGGACTTGAGGGGAATTTTAAGTCTGGCGCCACCCTACCTGATGGACCTTGTCCCTTATTGGCTGTGAGTCGTCAAGGTCAATCTAGCCAGGCCAGACTTCTCACCACGGAGCTTCCCCTGCCGTTGCCTGCTCTGTTTCCCTGTCAAGCCTGTCAGTCTCCTCCACTTGGCCATGAGTGCGGTGGGCAGGGTCTGTGCCTTGCTCCTGCACACTCAACACCCTCACAGAGCCGGGCACAGGGCAGGCCCAGCACGTGCATTCATTCACAGATCAAGTGTCTTTTGAGCACCTATTTTGTGCTGACTGCTGGGGATACAGTATCTGCCCCCAAGGAGTGGCAAATACAGGCTTTAGAATGCAAATGTAATGTGTGCTATGGAAGAACCTTTGCTGAGTGGATGAACAAATGCAATATGCAGAGGCTCAAAGTAAGAAAGCAGCTCTGGCTCTGGCCCCCTCTTCTCGCTCGTGAGTCGATAAGACTGTGACAAGCCCAGTCGGCCTCCTTGGCTTGGTTCTGTAATTGCCGGTAGGAGTTGCCTCTCCACAGTTGTGTCATGTCCTGGGGCTTCTGGAGCCAGGCTGCCTGCATTCAAATCCAGGTTGTGCCACCTGTTAGCTGGGTGACCTTGAACGAGTCACCTAGCCTCTCTGTGCCTTGGTTTCTTCCTCTGTTAAATGAGGGTAGTAATAGCATTCTCTTCAAAGGGGAGTGGCAAGGATTAAGTAATACATCTCAAGTGCTAGAACAGTGCCCACAATTAGTAACTATTTAGTAAATATTAGCTATCATTATCATAAATTTAATGGTTGTTCTTACATGAACGGATTGTCTTCAACACGATTTTGTGTGTGTGTGTGAGGAAGATTAGCCCTGAGCTAATATCCGATGCCAGTCCTCCTCTCTTTTCTGAGGAATATTGGCACTGGGCTACCATCCGTGCCCATCCTCCTCCACTTTATATGGGACGCTGCCACAGCATGGCCTGACAAGCAGTGCATCAGTGCGTGCCTGGGATCCGAACCTGCGAACCCCGGGCCCCCGCAGTGGAGCGCGCGCACTTAACTGCTAGGCAACCAGGATGGCTTCCTTCAACATGATTTTTATCCTTGTCTGTGGAGGAGATAGTTGCCTGCCTCTCGATATCCCTTCTTCCCTTAGTCCTGAGTAGTAAGATCCTGATTTTTAGCTGGACTGATTGTCCAGCCTCCCTTGGTGAGGCTACATGTCTGAATTTGGGCAACAAGATGCAAACAGAAGTGTTGTAGCAGTAGACAGTGATTCCCTCTTCTTCCTGCCCTCTGTCCTGTTGCTGGGCGTGATGGCTGGAGCTCCAGCTGCCACCTTGGACAGTGAGAATGAGGCCCCGTCGGGGATGGTGGAGGGGTGATCAGGAAGGAGCTGGGTCCCTCACCACTTCGTGGAGTGGGTCCAAGGCCAGCTCTGGACTGCCCTTCTCTAGGCCTCTTTTGTATGGAAGAGAAAGAAACTTCTAGTATCTGGTTAAGTCTGTTGTCTGTTTCCTGTTACACACAGCTGAATCTGATCCTATTACATCTCTCCTTTCAGCAAATGCCAGCTAATTTTAGCACCAGCTACAAAAAGGAAAATAATGAAAAATCAGTCGTCAAAACAAACAATAAAACATGTCCTAAGTCAAGTATCAAAGACTTTTGCAGAATACAACTAATAAACAAACATAGAACCAAAAAAAAAAAGAAATGAGAGAGAATTAAGCAATGAGGTACCAATCATATTTTGCCTATTAAAGTAGTTTTTAAAAGAACTTAATGATAACGTATGTGGATGTGGCAAAGCAGGCACTCTGTTCACTGGATGTGGTTGGAATTAGTTTAACTCTGGGAAAGACATTTGGCAATACATACCAAGAGTCAGTAATGCCATTTGAAGATACTGTCTGAAGGAAATACTCCGACATATTGAAAAAGGTACATGTATTAGTGGCCATTATGTGTTTGGCTGCCCAGCATGAGAATCCTCTCCCATGTTTGGGGGGGTTCCCTCCTACCTGGAATGCGGGGTGCTTGCTTTCCTAGCTTCCTTGCAGTTGAGTTGAAGGTACATGACCTTGGTTTAGCCAAGCAAATGCACCGCCCTGGAAGTCATTTTGGGAGATCTTGACTTGAGAAGCAGGCACACAAAGATCTTTTCTTGGAGTAGTGGTAACCCCAATGGGGTCTGGGTTCTAGGGTCTCTGGCTGGCTGGTGGTGGCTTTGTGAGTGCAGTGCTGAGTGATATTGGCTCTGGCTTGGGCTGCAAAGCCCTGAGCTTGGTTCTTGGCTCTCCTGGCAACTCGATGGCTCTGCCCATTATCTGTTTGAAAAAGACCCTCGACTCGTACGCGTGAAGATGTTTGCATCAGGGCTTTTTCATTGCCAGCAGCAGATGCCGACTCTGACCGACTTTGTCAGGAGGACTTCAAGGCCTCCAGGGGTTGCTGGGAGGCTGGAGAACAGCTCGACCGGGAGTGGGTGGGAGCTGAGGCTGCTCCAGGGCTCTGGGAATCAGGCCCTCATGATGGTCTTGTAGTGGGGACAGTCTGTCGGGGTGAAGCTGCTCACTGGACAGGCCCGTGGCTTTGTGTGCTCAAGAGCCAGATTCCAGGAGGTGGGGAGCACCCATCCCATTGGTCTTCTTGAGTCACTTGCCTACCCCCTGGGCAGTTGCCTCTCCTCTCCACCTTTCTCTATCCTGCTTTGTGCCAAGGGGGCTGCCCCATGTGGATGGAGAGCCTCACTGGGTTCCCGTGGTCCCTGGCTTCTGGCTGGATTTGGCCAGTGGGAGGCACTGGCAGGAGATGGAGAAGAGAGAGGTTGGGTGTTTCTCCATGGCTCCCATCCTGCCCAGGACTGTCGTTTTGGCAGTGGCTGTGCCCCGCCTGCCCACCCTCGATTATAGCTCCTGCTGTAACCCCGTTCATGGCTCTGGTAACCCCATTTCTTCCCCTTCCCCCTGCAGCCTGGAATGGTAACGGCTCCCACTGTTGCGGGTCCTCTCCACACCCTGTGTTGGTTTCCCTAATGCCTACACTCAAGTAAATAGTCTCTTCATTAAATTCTCTTAAAAACAAAACAGAACAGCTGAGTCTGCCTTTCGTTTCCTGCCAGGACCCTGACTGACGCAAGGTCTTACTTTGGTTTTGTTCTAAAAGCCCGGCAGCCTGTGGGACGGAACGCTTTCTGTTGTCTTGGACAACCGCTGAGGACAGGCCCCCCGTGTTGTCTCCACGGGTGCTGGGCAGCTCTTGTAGGACTTGCCAGACTGCTCCTCTGATTACCGCCCCCCCCACGAAGGCTGAGGAGGGGAGCTTTTGAAGGGAACTCCAAGGAGCAGAGAGCACTGGAGGAGGGGAGAGGGTGTGTCCCCCAAACCAGGTCAAGTGAGGGGGCTCCAAGAGAGACAGGGCTGTTTGCCAGAAGGAGCCTCTGGCTGAGCCGAGGAAAGCCGGGCCATCCCCAGAGGCCACTACTGCAGCAGCAGGGCGGGGAGGGCTGTTGGGAAGACGAGCCTGAACACTGGGGCTGCGGGGCTGCGTGTGGGGGCAGGGGCGTGCACGGTCTTTGACAGGACGGGGATGTGGCGTCCCTTGGGGCCCAGTGGGCACTGCAGAATACCAGGTCAGATTGGTCTAGGGCCCACTCTAGTGGCCTCGTTTGAACTTAAAAGGCTCTGTCTCCAAATATAGTCACGTTCTGAGGTACTGAGGGTCAGGGCTTCAACAAATGACTTTCAGGGGGCACAATCCAGCCCATAGTGAGCGCTCTCTAACTCCTGTGCAGGCAGCAGTGAACAGATAGACACAAGCTGCGGCCTCCTGGAGCTGGAGAGGGAAACAAGTGAAGGAACGTGATGACAAGTACCAGGAAGAGGGACGCAGGGCCAGTGGGCGGAATGG